ATTCTACACACACACTCTCTTCATCTCAATAATCAATCCACAAAAAAAAAAGTTTAATTTGAACCCTAGATATGGTCAAAATGAGTTCCCTTCCAAAAATGAATCTAGACCATTCATTTTGTGAATTTCAAGATCTTAGCCTTTATAAAATCAAAATCATTTTTTTTTCTTTTTTAACATTGTTCATCTAATGATAATAAAGCAATCCAAAAAAATTGGAAATGAAAAAATTCTTCTAAGGCTTAGATCTAAGCATCTAATTTATTTTTCGTAAATTATTACACACGATCTTTGAGCTTACTATTAGATTATTGATTTTACATATTCGGTATTGAGTGTGTGAACATGTCAACCATGATAAGTCGGAACTTGAATAAAAATAAATCTTATAAATAAAACAAAATTCGAACAAAATTTTTATCACATCTATTTCAAATTATTGTTGAGCTACCATTTTGCCACATCCATCTCCAAGATGGATATGGATGTTATGTAGGTCAGGAGACGCTATTGCAGAAATGCGCTATCTGAAGCGCAAACTACTTTTCCATTTAATTGAATATATTTAAAATTTTAGCTAATTTCCATTGTTCAAACCGGTTTTGGAAGCCAGTCAAACCAAAACCGGGACAAACACTTATCTGCTTTGCTATCCAGTTTGGTTCTCGTGACATTGATTACTTATTAAAGAGCAGTATATAACTTTAAATCCATTAAAGAGGAACTGAACAAGTCAGAAGAAACTCGTTATTTCTGAAGAGGTTGGATGGGGAAGAAACTTGTTATTTGTGAACAAGTCTAAAGGTCAGAGAGAGGGGAGTGGGTGATGCGCTGAAAGAGGGCCTTGTTAGGGTCAGATAGAGGGAGATATATATCTATTCCCCGCTTCCCATGCATTGGAGGCATGATTACCATAACCCCCTCGTCAGGAAGGCAAGAGGGCAAAAACACATGAGGCCCTCCACTCCCAAAATCCATGTCGTCAAAGGCAAACCCCAACCAACTATTCACCTCCAGATTTGGACAAAAGCCATCCAGTTCAGGCGTAGGCACCAACTCACTCCAATCCCCATGTCTCTCTATGTGCGCGTCAAAGTCCACAAACGACCTCGCGTACCTATCGTTCACTTTTGCAATCGCCGCCCGCACCACCTCCGCCACTTGATGCAGTGGCTTGCTTAAGAGCTCGCTCACCCCGATTCGTACATCGCCCAATAAAACCATGTTACCAAAGTAATCTTTGGGAATAGGCGGCACCAGACGTGAGTGCACGTTCACCGTCATTCGCAATCGGCTCGTCTCGCTCCTGCCCATGCTCAGTTGCGCCACCTTTTGCCACAAGTGCGCCACCAAGCTCTCCACGGTGCTGTACCCACGCCCACTTGTACAGCCCAACGATGCTTGACCCTTGAGCCTGGCCAGAAAATCTGGAGAAAAGTGGGCTTTGTGTAATCTAAGGTTTCTCACCATTTCACCCTGCGGAATGTCCCTTACGAGCCTCTTCTCCGTGTATTCGACCCCTAAATGGTCGAACTCGATGGAAAGTGGCTCGCGGGGCTGGATCACCGCTCGGCAGTGCATCGTGGTTGGGCTAACCCATTGGCCACGGGTGGCTTTTCCCCATGCTATCAAAAAGAAGCATACGGCCTGGCCATCCGCCACCAAGTGGCTGGTTGTGCAGCCAACAACTAGGGAGCCACATGTGAAGCGAGTGAGTTGGACTTGCAACAACTCCTCCATGCATTTCAGGCTCGGATGGAGGTCAAGAAGTTGAGGGTTTGATTCCAAAGGCATGGCCTCGTCGAGTGTGCACGAGGCCATGGCCTCGATGAAGGGAACGCCCTTGTCGTTGACGATGATGGTTCGTCGGTCGTCAGTGAGGCGGCCAGCCCACTCACGATAGTCGGCAAGGATGAGGCTGAGGCCATGCTCGAGGGTGGAGTTCGGTGGCGTTGGGTCTTTATAGGCAAAGATCATGGGCACATGAAAGTCGCCGGCTGCTCGGTCGAAGGGGCCAAGGGGGGTGGTGGTGGAGGTGGAGGAGACATGGGATTTGTTCTCGTAGGATGGGGTCACTAGCTTTGAGCTTTGCTGTTGTATCTTCATGGTAGGTTTTTCTCTCTGTTTCTCTTTTGCCACAAACTTTTACACTTCACAAGGCCTTTTTCTCTGTCTCTACCGGGACACAAATTTGGTTGAACATGTAAGTTTTTCTCCCACTTGGAAACCGAGTGCTTTTGGGGGAGCTTATATAGGCCAAATGAGGCTGAAAGTTCTTATAACGGGACAACTTGTATATATCAATCGTTACGCCCTTAACACGCTTTGCGTGTGGTCTGTTTGCCTAATGTTAGAATGATATACCAAGTGCACTTCCAAAAACTCTCAATATTCATGGCGTGAGTGTTAGGAAAGTGTTAAGTTGGGAAAATGGGGTGTGTATTTCTTTATCCCAAAAGGGTGATATCTTTATGAATACAATATCATAATCCCTTGATATTTGGGGAATATACAACAAGCATTTCTAGATATGGTTTATACATATCTTTACAATAAGTAAACTTTACTATATATGATTTTTGTACATATCTATACAATGAGGAAAGTTCTAAAATAACAATTATGAGCTCGAAAACCACCTAATACTTCCCTTCAAGCTGGAGTGTAAATGTCAAGAGCACCCAACTTGCCAATGAGAGATAGAAATTGTTCTTTGCCCTAGGATTTGGTGAAAATATCAACGACTTGATGCTTGGTTGGAACATTGGATGTTCATAGAATGCAGGATTGGATCTTGTCTTTGATGAAATGGCAATGTATGTCAATGTGTTTTGTATGCTCATGGAACACTGGGTTCGCGTAGGAGAAATATGACCGAGGCGCCAATGCAAAAAGGTAAAAAATTGGTGAATTTGAAGATAAGGCAGTGAAGGAATACTTGGGAGCGTGGAAGTAATAGAGACTGCTATGTTGCTTAGCTACTCCAATCGTCGTCTTTTGAGAATGGTCTTGAAAAGTGCAAGAATCACAAGAGAATATTACTGAGTAAGCATAAGAGGCAGTGATTTTACTAGTGGATAATAAATTAAAACTAAAGAAAAGGACACAAAACTTGGTGAAGTTGAATAGAAGGAGTTAGATAAACATAACCAATATGAGTAACTGTGGCATACGAACCATTTGGAAGTTTAACAGGTGCAACAGTAGAAGTTGGTTTGTATGTGTAGAAAAGTGAGGGAGTAAATATCATGTCATTTGAAGCTCCTGTATCAACCATCCAGGTGTTGTGAGAAATGGAAAATAAAGTTGAAAAGGAGTTACCTGCAAAATGAACAGAACTTTGTGCACTACCTTCACTTAGAATAGA